TTGTGCCAGGAATATTTGCAGCTCAGTTTTCCACATTCTCGGGAAAACCACGAAATTTCAAGTTAAATTGTCTGGTCTCCATTTCTAGAGCCAATAATCTTTTGTGAGTTATTGTCGCTTCCATTTTAAAGGCTTTAATTGCTTCCTCAGCTTGTAAGCCTAAGGATGCTGCATGATCAGCTTTTTTATCAACGTCTTGCAGGGCTTGTTTTATGTCATTTAGCTGTGACTGAATTGGTTCAAATAAACCTTCATAGAGTCTAAAATTCTCAATTCCATTTTATTCATCTGCTTTAGAACATTTTGTGAGTCTAATTGTAAATTGTCCATACCTCATTCCTGTGTGCCATCCACCATCTTGTCTTCGTTGTTTTTACAAGCAGCTCGACCCAAGTTCGTTGTCGCAGGTTGGAAATAATTGGTGACTGGTCTTTCTGTGTCTTTTTTCTGTATCTTAGTTTTCTCTCCAGATTTCCCCATATACTTGGGGGTAGTTAAATTCAAAAGTGGTGCAATTTGGCATGTATCAGAGGTGGGAAGAAGCGGAGCTCTAGTTATGTGGCCATTCTCCTCGGCACCACCAAGTGTGTGGTTTTTATAAAGAAATAGTGAGTTTATTAAAGTTGATTTTCTTATATGTTGAAAATATTCAGAACCCATCTTGATTGTTTAGTTTGAACAGTTTTATAGTCTTATGATCTTATAGTTTGAACAACTGGAAAGTTGGATAAAGTGCTTGTGTTAGTTTACAATAAATACAAATTGAAATATAACTGAATACATAAAGACAGAGGATATGAATCACACTCTTAAAGTTGTATCAATTAACATTAGAGGTTTGAATAATAAAACAAAAAAAGAGAGTAATAACTACTATGCTTAAATTAAGGCCAAACACACTTCTTTTACAAGAATCATATCTTAACACTAAACCCTGTCTTGAAATCATGTTGGTTCCAAACTCAGTACCAAGTGCTGGGATCCTCAAAAGTTCGTGATTTTGCTGTTCTTCTGTCAAAGAATGTAAGATTCCAATTGAAGCTTTGGAAATAGGTTTCCAAGATAATTTTATTTTTGTTAAAGGTTTATTACATAATCGGAAAATGGTCTCAATATACGTGCCAAATCCAGCCCAAATACAATTTCTAGAAGACACCTCCACTAAATTGCAAACCTTCCAAGAAGGTGATTTACTCTTAGGGGGTGTAACTGCAGGGGGTTCTCAGCACACTTTCCCCCTCCCTACCTTTAGTTCGCCCTCTTCAGCACAGAGGTTTAGGACACCCTCCACCTTAAACACAAATACAAGTTTATTTAAAATAACACGGGGGGCAGGGTTATATACAGAGAGTCAATAAATTGTTCAGGCTTTCTTTTGTTCCTTTTTTAAACTTTGGACTGCTCTTAGGCCAGTTTGGTGTATCTATTTATTTATTTATTAAGCTTATATCCCGCCCTCCCCCGTAGGGCTCAGGGCGGCTAACAGGCAATAAATATTGCAACAGTACAACAAAGTTCTCAATATTAAAAATAAATATACATTTTAAAACCATTCCAACTACAGAGTTAAATTTAAGTTTCAATTTTAAAATGCTCATAACACTTCACATCTAAAAACTCTAAAAAGACTCCAAAAAGATGATGACAGTCCTTACAGGGGGTTCCCCACGGTCTTCGATGTTTTTTATGCAGTCCTTCAAACGGTCCAGATGTTTAAGGTGTTCAAAGGATCCAGTGCTTCTGGTGTTTCCTTCCATCCCTAGGGCCTCTTCCACCGCCCCTGATGGTGATATATGAGGGGGGCGGAGGGCGGCGGCCCCTACTTGAAAGCCTGGTGGAAGAGCTCCGTCTTGCAGGCCCTGCGGAACTGCATCAGGTCCCGCAGGGCGCGGATCTCCCCCGGGAGCTTGTTCCACCAGGCAGGGGCCGCCACCGAGAAGGCCCTGGTCCTTGTGGCGACCAACTTAGCATCTCTGGGGCCCGGTAAAGTTAGTAAGTTTTGGGCCCCAGACCGTAGTGCTCTTGGGGGAACATACGGGATAAGGCGGTCCCTCAGGTAGGCTGGACCCAGACCATGTAGGGCTTTATAGGTAAGAACCAGCACTTTGAAGCGAATCCGGTATGCTATTGGCAACCAGTGCAGCGCTTTCAGCACAGGCTGAATGTGGTCCCTTCTAGAGAGACCCATTAACAGCCTGGCCGCAGCATTCTGCACCAGTTGCAGCCTCCGGATTTGCGACCAAGTCAGCCCCATGTAGAGAGCGTTACAGTGGTCTAACCTCGAGGTGACCGAGGTAGGGGGCCAACTGCCGAGCCCGCCGAAGATGGTAAAAGGCGGACTTGACAGTGGCTGCCACCTGGGCCTCCATTGTTAAGTCCATCCGAGAGCACCCTTTCTCTCCTTCCTCTTCTGGTCAGCAGTCAGCCATTAACCACCTTTTCCAACCATTTTTTCTTCCCTCCAGTTCAAAACTGAAGATTCCAAAACCATTATGTCACACACACTCTCTCTGCCTCTCTGGACATGTGACCACTCAGCTGCACGGTACCTTCCAAACAGCTGCCTATGCTTGTAAACGTTGCTCTGAAATTAATCTTTCCATTACAGGGGGTGATTTGAATAATATTTCTGATGTGAATCTTAATAGACCTCACCTGAAAAAGTCACAAAAATATGCTGACACCAGAAGCAAACTGAATAAATTGTTTGAGAAGTTTTATCTTTATCTGGAGACATTTACACCCAAAAGATAGGGATTATACCTATTACTTGGTGTGTCATGATATTTCCACTAGAATAGATTACATTCTAGTTTCTCAAGGTTTAGTCAAAAGAACCACTGCAGCAGATATTGGTCTAAAAATATGGATGGACCATGTTTGGCTAATGTGATACTGCAGGTTCTGAAACAAGAAACCCAGGATCAACTTGGTCCTTTAAAAAATCACTTTTATGAAATAATGAACAAGACATAAACACACTTTGCAGACAACAACTCATCTGAAGTGTCTTATTCAGTAATTTGGGATACAATGAAAGCGGTTCTGAGGGGCCAATTCATATCAACAGCTTCATACCTAAAGAAAAAAAGACACAAAAAGTTATCAGAGATATTAACAAAGATAAACCACTTGGAGAGAGAACACACACACACACACATACACAAAAAAAACCAGGCTCCAAATGGATTTATACAAAATTGTTAGCAGAACAAAAAATCCTGGAATCCCTTGAAACCTCCCAAATACAAAAGGTTTAATCTATACAAAACAAAGATACTGGCAAAAATTGGCTAAAAATTTGAAATCACTTTCCTGGGGGGTTAAAAAAAAAGCTAGACAGAAATATCCATTATATGAGAGACCCTTCCGGGACTTTATATACGTACTTCTAAAGATATATTAAATATTCTGGTTAACTATTATAAGTTTTTATATCATTCTAGAAAGCTGAACGTAGACACAATTACAACTTATCTGCTTTCTAATAAATATATTAAGACTCTTTCAGATACTCATAAGAAGCCTTTGGAAAACCCTATCACAATCCAGGATATTCGGGGTACAATAACAACCATTTTCCATCAAAATTTTATAAGACATTTAGCTCTAGTTTAGCTGAACCATTGACTAACATTTGCAATCACATTTTGAATACTGAAAACATTCCAGCTTCTTGGGTGGAAGCCACTTTAGTGGTGATTCTGAAGGAAAATAAGATTTAATTAATCCCACATTTTACAGACCAATTGCACTTATAAATCAAGATGCTAAAATATTTTCTGCAGTTTTGGCTAACTTAGACTTAAACAAATCATTTCAAGTTACATCAGTCTAAACCAAACAGGCTTCATCTCTAAGAGAAACTTGTCAGATAATACTCATAAAACCCTTAATATAGTAAACCACTGCAAAATAATAAATCAGGAAGCAATTTTGTTAGCTCTTGATGTAAGAAAACATTTGACACCCTGGAAATTCTGTATCTCCAAAAATTACTGACTTATATTGGTTTCAGCAACAAATTTCTGAGAGCGATCTATGCAATATATGAAAATCAAACTACAGATAAAAATGAATGGGATCCACTCCACACTCTTTAACCTTATAAAATGAATGGGACAAGGGTGCCTGTTATCACCATTATTATTTGTGTTATCCTCAGAACCATTAGCTGAAGCTATATGACATAACCCATATATAAAAGGTATCAAAACTAGAGAGAAAGAACACAAAATAAGTCTATACACTGATAACTTAGTGCTATACATTTCTGAAGTTGAAAACTCATCACAAGCAATACATGACAAAATTAACAAATTCAGCCAGATTACGGGTCTGCATGTCAGTCACTCTAAATCATATGTCTAAATCTCATATTTTTCTCAAAGTGAAAAGTACTGAGAACGTGGAGTGATTTCAGCAAGAGTACTTTTATTCAGCAGGACAAGACAAAGAACTGCCGGAGCCGGTATATATGCCCAGAAAACCCACCACCAAAACCCACCCTCTACTTCCTATAGGCTATTTACAGTAGCTGAGAGCCATAGGCTCTCGGTCAGGCACGTGGTAATGGCGGAGTACATTACACAAAGCATGAGTGTATCTATTTACAATAAATACTCCTACAAATGAATCAACAATTTATGGGGTTATCTAGGGATCCAAATCCCTCTGGAGTGAAAGGACTTCGTAAAAACGCAACTATGGAAAGCTTCACCAGGGTATAATACTTCAATTAAAAAATTGGGATAAATTAAATTTTTTGAAGACGGATTCAGCAGGCTGGGGCACCGGTGGGGAAGACAAATGCAGATTCGACCTCTTCTGTTCCTCGCCTTGCTTTCCCACCACCCACCCACGCCTCCCTTCGCGACCCTCCCTCGCGAACGCCCTCCCTCCCTCCTTCCGGTCGCCTTTCCCTTCTTCCTTCCCCTTCCCGTAGTTGCTAGGCAACCTTTTGCGGTCAGCAGCGCGAGCGGTCACGCAAGTGGCGCGGAATAATGACGTGTCAGGCGGAATGAGCCCCTTGTGTCGCGCTGAAGCTCCCTAAGAAGGCTTCACTGGGTGAGCGCTTCCCCCTCCCCTCCTTTGCCTTTCTCCACAGGTGGGGGGGCGTGGGGGGGGCTCCCTCCAGGCCCTCGGGCCAGGGCTCGGGCTTTGGGGGCTCCTGGTGGCGGTGTTTTCTCTGAATATGAGCCGGGAAATGAACCCGAATGACGGCGCTTAGTTCGGGGGAAGACACGACGTAAGATGTTCCAAGCGTATGTGCAGAGTGTATTTCTCTAGCCGTTTACCCATCTGGAACCAGAGGAAGGGGTTCGCCCGTTTTTCTGAAAGAAAGCGCTGAGAGGCTCGATGGCCATTCCCTTCCCTAGGAAAGTCCGCAAGTGGCTTTATTTTGGCGCAGTGGAGAAACTGCGATTTGTTCGTTTGCAAAATGAGAAAGTCAGCTGTTGGGATGTGTGTGTGTGTGTGTGGAATGTCCTTTATTATTTATTTTATCCATTGATTTAATTTATACCCCGCCCTCCCCGCCAAGGCGGGCTCAGGGCGGCTTACAAATATTTCATAAAAATACAATTGAAACCTATCATAACATATAAACATATAACATAAAATACCAATCATTTAAAACACAACTAAAACACTGGAACATTATCGAGTAAACAGGAGTGAAGATTATTTATAATATGACTTAGGTGACAGTTTAATTCCTATAACTTCACACCAGCTCAGTTCGGTCACTTGTTATGCGGCGGGTACAGGCTGTAGCAGTGGTAAGACCCTGATTCAAATTACCAGCATCAGTGTTTAGAAGAAGAGATTGGATTTATACCCCGCCCTTCACTCCCCAAAGGTGTCTCAGAGCAGTTTACAAACTCCTTTCCCTTCCCCTCCCCACAGCAGACACCCTGTGAGGTAGGTGGGGCTGAGAGAGCTCTTGACAGAAACTGCTTTTTTTCAAGGACAGCTCTGACAGAACTTTGGCTTGCCCAAGGTCATCCAGCAGGTGCAAGTGGAGGGGGGGGGGATCAAACCCGGTTCTCCCAGATTAGAGTCCACGCACTTAACCACTACACCAAACTGGCTCTTACTAGTACTTAATTTACAAAGGAGTGTACAAAGTTTCTGGGAAGCTTACAAATATGCTGCCATCATAGCTTTGTTTATTTTAAAGGTTGTAAAAAGTGGTAAACAATGACGTACCTCTGATTGTAAGTCATTTAGACATTTCAACTCAGGATCTGTGTAGTACATTTTTATAGTTCAGATTGTGTTATGACTTTGTTTCCTTGTGATTTCTCTGCTGCAAATCATATGCCACTGTAGACATGTTACAGCATAGGGAGTGAGTAGAGGAGGGATCACACTCCTTCTTCTGCTCATATGAATAATGCCTGTTTCCTTTCTAGTCATCTGGGGAATCAAGGACAATTGTAACTAGTGATAAGATTTTGGGAGACTGAAGTCATGTTCTGTTCTCCATCAACATACAGCCTTGCCATTTGCTTTTAGAATGTGCTCTGATTAATCAACTGACTGATTGCTGTAGTTGGAGTCAGAAATAAAATCCAAGCCTTCTCTCCCCCATCCCCACTGAGGCCAAATCACTAGTGACAGTGGAGAGTGTCTTCACTGGCAGCCTAATCAATTTATTGAACCTAAAACTAGAATGTTTGCTCTGCCAGTGTCACTTTTGTGGACGCTGCTTGTTAAACTGCTTTTGTTGATTGGTCCAGGTGACATACACTTAAGGAACTCAACATTTGTTCCAGCATAAACTTTGATAATTCAGAACTGACTTCATCAGATGCATGGAACGTATCCATCTCAAGCAGCTAAATTTATATTTAAGAGTTCAAGCAACGGAAAAGGGGTAGGGGTGAAAGTTACATGTGAAGGCCAGTCTAAGAATCAGTCCCTACTGTTAATAGATAAGCAAAATAGGATTACCATACAATCCAATTATGGAAAATACTGTGTGAGACATGTTAAGCAGATTCATTAGGGCAGTATGGAGTCCATATAAATATACAACTGAATTAATTGACATCTGTAAGGTGTGGGTCATGTTGAGACATTAGCACCTATATTGAGTGAGGAAATCAAGGTCCTTATTCAGCTTCCACATCCAGAGGCAGTAAACTTATGAACATCAGAGTTAAGAGGTGATTTTATTGATTAGAGGAAGCCTCTGCAACCTGTTCATCAGTGCTCCAGGACGACTGGTTGGTCACTCTATGAAACAGGATGGTGGACTAGATGGGCCACGGATCTGATCGAGTAGGGCTCTTTCTGTGTGTTTGTGCTGGTATGGGCAAATTGGTGGTTATACAATTCTATATTTGGGGCAAAGGGTTGGACAAGTATGCATTTTAGTCCTTTCCATCTCCGATTTTCAGTTTGCTCTCTTTGCCTCTGCAGGGGCTAAAGGATGTTGAAGCAACCATCATGGGCCACGCCCTGTGCACCTGCTCCAGGGGAACCATCACTATCAATAACAAACGTTATCTTTTAATCCATAGGCTTGGGGAGGGGTGAGTATAGAGTTGGATTTTCACACATGTTGTCATGCATATTGAGCTTCATCTGTAAATGATTTAGTTCAGGGATCATCTAGTCCTGTCCACTACAGGGAAACCACCCCCTGAACATGGCTGTTCAAACTTCTCTTAAGGTTGCAGTCCTATTCCTAATCTCTTTACCATTACATACATATGTGCCCTCAAGTTGCAGCTGACTTATGGCAACCCCAGCAGGGGACTTTGAAGACAAGTGAGAAGTAAAGGGGGTTTCCCATTGCCTTCCTCTGCACACTTTTTCTTGGGGTTCTCCCATCCAAGTAACAACCCTGCTTAGCTTTTGAGATCTAATGAGATTGGGCAATACTGTGCTGCCTTCCCTCCTAGAAGAGGAGGAGATTGGATTTATACCCCGCCCTTCACTCCCCAAAGGAGTCTCAGAGCGGCTTACAAACGCCTTTCCCTTCCCCTCCCCACAACAGACACCCTGTGAGGTAGGTGGAGCTGAGAGAGCTCTGACAGAAACTGCTCTTTTTCAAGGACAGCTGTGTCAGACCTTGTGACTGACCCAAGGTCACATCAGCAGGTGCAAGTGGAGGAGTGGGGAATCAAACCCGGTTCTCCCAGATTAGAGTCCGCGCACTTAACCACTACACCAAACTCAATATTGCTTCTAAGTAAACATGCATAGGATTGAACTGCAGATCCGTCCACAGAGGGTGATGCCACAACTGACCTGGAGAATTCATTCCACTGCAAATTCATTCAATACAATTAGAAAGTTCATTCATGATGTGTAATCAAATCCTGCTTTGGCTGAAACTTGAACCTCCTTCTGCTCATCTTTCCTGAGCAACTGTGGCAAAGAGTTCTTCATCTTTAAGTCAACTTTTAGCTATGCAAAATACTCTTGAGATGTCAGACATTTGCAGCCCAAAATCTTCAATCTCACAGTTACAAGAGTCTGACACTAGCTGATGGTTTCCAAAGAAACTGCACGAGGCTTCAGGATCTGGAGTGGTTTGTCTCATAGTCATTGTCTTCGACGGACTAGAGACATATTCAGTGCAAGGCTGAATTCCCTGGTTATTGACAGGCCTGTTAAACTGCAATATCCTTTTGAGCTATTTTTGAAAACTCTGTTAAGGGGCAGAGAGGAACCATGCCCTTGTTCCACAACATTCATGTTCCTTCTTGCCCTGTGTTTTAATTACTGTTTTGTGTGCTTTAATATGTATTTTAGTTTAGCTTTTAATTGTTTTTATGATACATTTTAATGAGGCTTTGTTTTAACTGTTAGCTGCCTCATTGGGCACATCTGGAATGGGAAAGTAAACTGTGTGGATTCTGTTAAGTTTCCACTGTAATAATTTTTTCCTTGTCAAGTTGTCCATTTTGTTTTTGACATCCCCTTCACCCCACAGTGGTTTTAGCTATGTGGACCTTATAGAAGGGTTACACGATGGGCATTTCTATGCACTTAAACGCATCATGTGCCATGACAAAGATGATCGTCAGGAGGCCATGCATGAAGTGGAGATGCACTTGCTCTTTGACCATCCCAACATCCTGCCCCTGTGTGCGCATGCGGTGGTGGAGAGGGGATCCAAACATGAGGCCTGGCTCCTGTTGCCCTTCTGTAAGGTGAGTGCTGCTGGGGAATGTGGTGGCATCGACGCTGTGTAAGACAGTCATGGATACAGCCATATTTTGGTATTGGGATGGGGGGAGGAAAACCACTCGTTCACTTCTCTGATAATTGGGGGGGGGTGTGTGCTTGTATGGCCTGTGCCTCATATATTAAATCTGCCTTTGGCATATTGTGATGTCTACCGGTAGGTGGTCTTCTGCTTGCCTAAGGACTTTGGAAAAATGCATGCAATCCCAGTCATACAGGCTTCTCTTGACAGAGAGGGACCCTTTGGCAAGAAGTTGAAGTTCTGAGAGATAACGGTGTCTTCATGCCTGAGGAGCGAATCCTTGCCATCCTTCACGGTATCTGCCGGGGCCTGCAGGCCATCCATAACAAGGGCTATGCACACAGGTGAGAAGCTAGAAGTAGATGGAAAGCCTGGGATGTTTGCATGAACAGAACAGCTCGAGTGTGTGTCGAGGAGGGAAGGAGTAGAGATGAGATGAGTGACTGACTATGTTGTGTTGAGGACATTGCAAAGAGGAGTTTACAAAGGTAAAGAATTTATTGCCTTTAGGGTTTTTGCAACCAGAGTCATAAACAGCAAACCCTCATCCCACAATAAACCTCGTTCCACAGAAAAACATGGAAGGATTTAAAGGTTGCCACTGCAGAAGTTGTCATGTGATTTGACAACAGCTGCTAGAAATTTTGCCACAGGCAGGTAAAGAATCATGGGTTGGCACTGAGTAGCTGCCAATGTTATTAATAGGGGAAGGCCAAGTTGGGGCCGGTAAAGACTCTTCAGTTCAGTTTAAAGCAGGCAGAGACCCCAGGAGGACTTAAATAGTCTCCTACCTTCCCTTTCCAGAGATCTGAAACCTACAAATGTGCTACTGGATGACGATGACCAACCATTGCTGATGGACCTGGGTTCCATGAATCAGGCACGCATTGAGGTGCAGAATTCTCGGGAGGCCATGGCTATTCAGGTACAAGTGACCTATGGTAAAAAGCTAAGCACACTTGGGCAGAAAGGTTCCTTCCAACAAAAATGGGGGGGGGGACCACTTTCTCAAGCTGATTGATAACAATGGGCATTCAGGCAGTCTGCTCACTGTGGGTGGATGCTTTGTACATACAGAGTGGTTTGCTGGTGACAGATGTGACACTGTGCAGCTCTTTTTAAGTATGGGAAATCTCAGAGAGGAAGGAGGTCATAGCTTAGTGGCAGAACACATGCTTTGCATGGAGAAGGTCCCAAGCTCTCCAGTTCTGTCTTGACTGTCAGGGTTGGGAAGAAGCTCTGCCTGAGACCCAGTCTGGTGTGGTGGTTAGGTACGCGGACTCTAATCTGGGAGGAACCGGGTTTGATTCCCCACTCCTCCACTTGCACCTGCTGGATGACCTTGGGTCAGTCACAAGCTCTGGCACAGCTGTTCCTGAAAGAGCAGTTTGTGTCAGAGCTCTCTCAGCCCCCCCTACCTCACAGGGTGTCTGTTGTGGAGAGAGGAAGGGAAAGGAGTTTGTATGCCGCTCTGAGACTCCTTTGGGTAGTGAAGGGCGGGATATAAATCCAATCTCCTCTTCTTCTCTGAGACATAAGGGAAATACTACCAAAAAGAAAAAGACAGTATTGGATTGGATGAACCAATGGTCTAACTTAGTACAAGGAAGTTTGCCCATTAGTATGCTCCCTTAAACTGTTTGTGCTTGCATCCCTTAGCCATGGGTTGGGTCTCAAATGCCAAGCAGACCTATGCCTCGTTCCAAGAAAGGAAACTGTTTACAGCATCTTTTGCCTTCCCTCTAGATGTCCCAGTTATGGTTTCAATAGAAGGCAAATAATCAGTAAGACAGTAACAGGGGCATATCTTTGTAAGAATGGACTTTATTATCAAGTTGCAAACCATAATTCCAAGTCTCTTTGTAAGAATGGACTTTATTAATTATCAAGTTGCAAACCATAATTCCAAGTCTCTGGAATATTTCTAAACTGAGTCTTGTGGGCAAGCAGGGATCCTGAGATTTCTGTCTCACTCTTTCTGATAGGCCTCCCTCTCTGGGTCTCTCCTATCCCTTTCCCTTTAAGCTTCCCTGATCCATGTTAAAAAAATTTTTTGGTGATACTGCAGCTTCTTATCCTGTAAGAGTTGCAAGAACAGTCCAGAGTTGGGGCGAAAGCTTTGCTCTTCTGTGGCTCCATTGGAGACTTGAGATTCTGTTCTCCCCCTACCCCCACTTCACAGGACTGGGCTGCCCAGCGTTGCACCATCTCATACCGAGCACCAGAGCTGTTCACTGTTGAGCGTGAATGCGTTATTGATGAACGTACTGACATCTGGGTAAGGACCATCAAGTTCTCAAGGGGGTAGGAGATCCTACCTTCATGCCAGTGATGTACATCCCTTTTCTGGGGGCCAAAGCCCTGCTCCATAATCTCTCACCCTACATCTTAGTCCTTAGGCTGTGTTCTGTACTGCATGATGTTTGGCGAGGGGCCTTACGACATGATCTTCCAAAAGGGTGACAGTGTGGCCTTGGCTGTGCAAAACCGCATCACTGTGCCCCAGAACACCAGGTAAGCTGGGGAAGGGAGCATTATGGGTTGTAGTTGCCCTCAGTCCAAGGAGGAGCTGATGCTAAGCACCTCAGGTTTCAGGTACTCGCCTGCCTTGGAACATCTACTCTCTTCTACAATGGTGGTAAACCCCCAGGAGCGTCCATACATTGCTAATGTCATCAGTCAGCTTGAGGAGATACAGCCAGCTCCCCCTGGACAGGACACCACACACATCTAAGACCACAGAATGGGTGGTGAAGACGGACAGCAGGAAAGCTGCTTCTTGAAAGGACTCGATAAAGCCCGTGTGTTTGTGCTGCTCCAGGTTGGGAGCAGGGGAATCTGTCTTGTCCCGGCTTCCATCCTTCAGGAACTCCCTACAGTGGAACCACCTCCGCTCTTGGACCTTATGGTACTGCTTGCGACTTGCTTGGATCTCTCTGTCATGGTTGCCTTGGCACGCATCCCAAGTATTTTACAATGTCATGGCTGCTTAGTTTGTATTTGGAATCTGCCTATGTAAAGATTGCTGGGGTATATTAGGGCTCTGGCAGCAGCAATGGAAAGGGGGTGGGGAGAAGATATGCAGCATGTATTTTTTAATTCCAGTACAGTACCTGATGGGCTACTGAGGAAGGGCTGGTGCCCTATTCCTGTAGGCATAGGCAAGCCCTCAATGCCTCTGTACTGAATAAAGTCTTCAGAACACAGCTATGTTAACTCATTGTCTGAACAAGATCAAGGAACAGCAGCCTACAGTTGGGCAGAGAGAAACAATACAGTCATGGAGTTGCTTGCCCATGTTTTTCAACACCGACTCCTCGTTTGGCCCTTCCTGTTCCACAGCGGGTAGCTCCTCCAGTTTTTGTGCCTAGAAGAGCGGAGTTCTACAGTCTCTTTAAATTAAAGAGATTTCCCCCCCCCTCTCTACATTTGCCATCTGCTAACCCTGCAGAAGGCAAAGTAGGAAATTACTCAGTGCTTCTAATAGTCGGCATGGGGGTCTTCAGCTCCTGTAAAAAAAAAGTTTGTGCCTAAGATTTACAGCACAATGTGCTCTTTGTATTGGCTTCTGTGTATATATGGCACAAAATTTGCTGTTCATTGAAGTATGTCATCCTATATTAGCAAGCAGGGAGTTTTATTGGCTCAAGGTTAATACCCGAGCATGGGAATGCAAGGGGAAAAGGGAGTACTAAAGGGAAGAAAAATTAAGGGTTGCATAACAACAAACTAGTAGGTTCCCTTACTTCTCCCTTCTATAATGAGGGTTTGAGAGTAGAGAAGATGAAAGTATCTCAGACTGGGATGCCCACTGATAGGTCACTAATATAGGCACAGCAGAAAGGGCGGGGTATAGGAAGGGGGGAAAAAAGCTAGCTCCCTGGCAGGTACAGGGTGGGGCTTTGTTTACAAAGGCCTTGATAATCTCGATTTAGCACTAGTATTTGGGTGTAGCCACTGCCTTTCTTCCTATTTGCTTTCACAAGGCGCAAGAGGGAAACTAACACTTGTCATTCAGAACAAAGTCTGAGTCCAGTGGCACCTTTAAGGTAACGTTCTCAAGGTATAAACTCGTGCATGCACTTGGAAGCTTACACCCTGAATAAAACTTTGTTGGTCTTAAAGGTGCCTGACTGGACTCAAACTTTGTTCTGTTGCTTCAGACCAACACGGCTGCCCCACCTGAATCAGTTTTCATCCAGTTCACCATCTTCCTAAGGGTCTCCTGTACCATGCAGACTTCTCCAATTAACCTCAAAGGGAACCACTCTCTTTTAAGCTCCTTGCAGCCCTAGACTACCCACCTAAACAAAAACACCAAAAAGGCCCAGGCATTAAAGAAATACAAACTGAAGCACAAGGCACAGAGGAATCACATCTGGACGCTGTGTGAGACGGCTGGGGCTGAAGGAAAAAAGGGAAGGACTCAAGGAAGAGTGAGCTTCATGTAGACCCAGGCTTAACTGTAGATCTTTTGCAGATCCTTAGCCAGAAACTTAAATTCACCATGAATGGTACAGATGAAAGCTGTACCTCTGCTCAGCATGTTGTAGCCTGTAATGGCAGTTTTGGCAAAAGGGAAGCCTACCTCTAAGGTCATAAATAGTAATATGATTGAAGCTAAGCAGGTCTCAGCCTGGACTGTGTCTCAACAAAACATGCAGGCTGTCTCCTATAAACCACAACAGCATACCCAAAGGGGAAAAAATGGAAGATTTGTATTCACTTACCGTGAAGCTTCCTTCTCGGTGGTCCAGAGTGGGGCAGTCCTTGACCCCTTACTCCTGGGAAAGCACCTCCCCCTTCTGTAGGCAGGGCCGGCAAACTTTGATCCCAGAGGGGAGGGGCTGATCCTCTCATCCCCAGTCATACCGAAAGCCACCGAGCTGCTGTAAATTAACTTAAAAAATAACTCCTTCCCCCTCAGACAACTGGGGAAACCATCACAGCCATGGGCTTAAACAAATACAAACCTGCATTTTAACCATTAGAGCAAACAAACAGCAACAGTCCGCCACATCACGTAATCAGTTAGACCATATTCATGAACAGCTGAACCACTGAAAAAGATAAAGGACCGGAAGTTGTGCCCATCAAGAGAGGGTGGGTAGGACTGCCCCACTCTGGACCACCGAGAAGGAAGCTTCACGGTAAGTGAATACAAATCTTCCATTCTCCGGTGGTCCAGGAGTGGGGCAGTCCTTGACTCCTTACTCCTGGGACGTAAAAAAGCAGTGCTCCCCCCGGGTGGGTCACACAACTTCCGGTGCCTACAGGGCCTGAAGGAGCACTCTACTGTCAAATGCTGCTTCTGCTGAGGCTAGTTTGTCAATCCTAT